TTTGACACAGTCCAGCATACCATTCTTATTCGCAAAATATCAACGCTGGGTTTCAGCGGTAGGGTTCTCCAGTGGCTACAGGATTATTTAGATGGCAGAGAAATCTGCACAGACGTCAGCAGGAATTGCTCGACTTGGAAGATATCATTATCTGTATCATGAGGAAGGATTCTGGGTCCGCTGCTATTCATTTCAGTGAATGACCCCCACTGAATCCCTGCTCCCCAATTCTCCTTAACGCTGTTGTAGAGCGCTGTGACGTCAGATGTACTGCAGTGTTACCTCAGACTTTTCGCAGAGTTTGCGGTGAACAGCAGACCAGCATTTAATTTGGATGAATGCCAAACCATGTATCTCCTCACCCCTGATTCTCAAAAGTATCCTGCTCTTTCTGTGGAGCACAACTTTCCCGCACCACTGCAGAGAAATACCTGGGACTAGTACTGACTGACAAAATAGACCGCAGCTCCAGTTATCTGGGGGATGCCTCAAAGACTACCTAGTACTGAACTTCAGGTGCAGACCACCAGGTGCACTGGCCGCAAGGCTCTTACTGAAGCTCTACAAGATCTATATGCAAACTTCTCTAGAGGTCCACGACGTCATTGCACCACCAAACACGAAAAGAGAAATGAACCTACTGGAGAAAGTCCAGAGGCGAGCGACAAGAAGTGTTGCGGTTGTGAGGCAAAACTCTACGAGGACAGGCTGAAAGACCTAGGGCTCCTCTATCTCAGCTGCCGCGGATTACGAACTTTTGCTGGTAGCAACTGACGATATGCCCTTCCATCCCTGCATTTCCATTCTACTCCCCAACCCTAGCATCTGCAACAAGAAGCATCGCTTCTCCTCATTATTACCGGTTACACTTATCTTTCCATAAATACTTTTCACTCCTCATTTTTCTCATTCTTCACCCACCCTGTTTCTATCACTATTTAAGTAAAGCTTAACACTTACCTGCAGGTGCCTACAGCAACAGAAATTGGAAACGGTTGGTTGGTCTTATCAGCAGTTCCATTGACCCCTCTTAAACAAACCAAGCTACAATTTGCAAATAAAGCACTTTCAAGTAGACAAACACTATAAGCAGAAAAACGCAGACTTCTGCGACCACCAAAGAAGTACAGCCGACCAAAAAGAACCAAGCCTCAATACCTAGAGGCGAGAGCTCAAAAACCGCAAGTTTCCTTTACTCGCACTATTGCGGACGTCCCCTCCAGTTACCATCTCCTACTAAAAGAATTACTATATTCCCACTCGTCCTATAATGTTATTTATTATTCTTCCTTCTGACTTTACGTTCTCAAACTATAACAAAAGTTCTCTCTATCATCTATTCCCCATAGACCTATCAATGTTTATTCTTCCGTGCCGTTTGCTTTTTCCTAATCTTTTTTTCAAATACGTATTATTCTTCCCCCTTTTTTCCTTTTCTTTTTCCTTTTTGTCTCTCTCTGCACTTACTCTCCCTTGATTTCTCTGCACATATTTTTCATCCTTTTACAACCAGTCCGACCAATTGTCTGCTGGCACGACACTTGAGGAACCCATCTGCACCACAGCCCTCGGAAGAAAAAACAAACAAACAACACTCCCTACAGACTTAACCAACACCTAACCGTCCATCGGGCTAGCCAGAGCTACAGCAGTCAAGTAGGTAGACCTACTGCATTGGAATCCACCAAAGACCTGGAACCGTTCCGCAAGACGTAGAAGTGAGCGCGAAGAAGTCAATTAGTTTACACTAGCTCGTTAAAAGATATTGGATATTGGATATTGTTGTCACCCGGCGCGCTCCTTGAATAGTGACGTGTTTTCGCTCGTCTCTCAGCTTTTGGATTTTTCCACATTGAAGAACTCCCATTTGCAATACTCAATCTAAAAAGATCAAACGTTTGCAGCAATTCTGTCCGTTCACGCACCTCATCCCTGCGTATTCGTCAACTCACTTCTCTACAGTTGAAAATTGGCATTATTATTCCTTTGAGCCAACCGGTCTGTCTCCTGTCAATGGTTCTTGGGCGTTTCAACTGCCAAACTGCTTTAGCTCTCGGTTCTCCTCGGAGGTCATTCACCAGGAAATATCTTTCCTGGTTATACATACGCATCTGGAGCTTACGGTTAAACTCATTGGTCAAGAACAGAGGATCAAGTGACAAGTGTCTGAAGGTGAGCCAACATAAATTATCTTCCCTTATCTATTCCGTCCTTTTGCTGCACTCACTCTCCAACCCTCTTATTGTTGATAACTGTTTGTTTTCCGAACAAGTTTTTATCATAGCGACATGTCTGCGCAAAGCGCTAGATCCGAAGCTTTGACACGGATAACGCGGTCGTGCACAAAAACGGCCAATAACACCCGAAACAACACACTAGTCTGTACTAGAAGACAAAATGAGGTAGGGCAGAACACCGAACTTCTAAAGAAGTGGCCAACCCATGTTTCTAGAATTCCAGTCGCCATCAGACAGGTGACACAGAGTAGCACTAGCCCGTCACAAACTAGTCCTATCTTGAGCAAGGATCATACCATGCCTGGAAATAGAAGACGACGTAAAAGGCTTCAGGACAAGGCAGCCACAAGCGGTTTGCCACAATCCGTAGCACCTTATTCACGAAAAGAAGGCTGCATTACGACGCCCGATGGCTGCAGTGTTTGCACCAAAGTTGTTTCGGTAGTTGATGAGGCATTTGCATGCAACCTATGTCAACGATGGGTGCATTGCCAATGCGACACCAAAGCCCCCCGACAATACTATAAGCTGATGAAGAGACAACCATGCAAGTGGTTCTGGTACATCTGTCCAGAGTGCAGGAAAATGCCCGCACTCCGCACAGAAAGCCTGAAGGAGATATTCTCTGCCACGCAAAAGCTACCAGCATCCTCGAATAAAGTAGGGTTAACACCAAAGGATAACACAGGGAGACCTGGAAACAGACCCAGAGCTCCAGCTGCAGGCACGCCACCTCGCGTGGGGACCATATTAGGTCAAGCCTCCATACCCCCCACCCGGCCCCAGGGGACGTCAAGCTCATGGCCGAAGACATCGACCGCCGAACCCTCTGCGAAACCCACTCCAAACATCCCACACACCGTGACTGAGAAACAACCAATGGAATTACTCAAACCCATTGGGAAGTCAGGCGTGCCACCCACAACGAACCCAGGTCACAGGAGGACCAACTCGATCATTTTGTTCAACGTCGATGTATCGACAGACTCATTGTTGGTCAAGAGGGAACAATTTGACAGCCGAATGTGGACCGACTACTGTCAGATGCTGGGACTCCCTCCCCCCCTGCAAATTTGTGTCGCCCTTCTCGAGGAAGCCGTGAACCCCGAGATAAGCCACCCCCTTTACGTGTGTCCCTAAATGCTGCCAAAGGGGCTGAAGACACCCTCCTTCTCTGGTGACAACCGGACGTTGTTAATGCCTGTGAAATTCGGGCCAGGCCTGACAAGCCATGGTGAATAAGAGGGGAGGAGAGATAGTCAGCGGTTGGAAATCCCAACAGGAACAACACTGTTTGTCAACGATCTGCAGAGTGAAATATTCTCACCCATCCTCCTCCTCTCTGACGGCATAGAAATTTGGAGGGTGGTAAACGAAGAAGCTGATTGTACAGCACTACAAAAGGACTTGCAGCAACTCGAACTCTGGTCGTCGGAAAATAGCCTGAACTTCAACCTGGAAAAGTGCAAAGTAAAAAAGCTCATCAGTAAAAATGAAGCAAGTAAGACCGACTTCCAGTACATGTTGAGCAACCGTGCTATCACCAGAGTGTCCATGGAGAAAGATTTGGGGCTCAACTTCTCCGACACCTTGGACACCAGCTCCAACTATAAAGGTATGACAACCAGAGCGAACGCCATTCAACACTTTCTGCGTAGACAGCTTGGCGCCCTCACTCCCAAACTCTTCCTCACCATTTTCAAATCTTACGTGCTGCCGCACCTAGAGGTCTTCCATACGGTGGCTCTTCCAACACTCAAGAAAGACTCCAATCTCCTTGAAAAAATACAAAGAACTACAACAAAATCAGTCGTGGGGCTAAGGGGAAAGACGTATCCTGAAAGACTTAAACACCTAAACCCATTTACCTTGGGTTATCGCAGGAAGAGAGGCGACCTCATTATGGCACACAAGATCGCCCATCAGGCAGACCATGCAAACAAATCAGTTTTGCCTGCAACTCAACGATCTTCACGAGGAAACCCCATTAAGATAGCACACCAGAGAGCCAACACCACACTCAGGTCCAAATTTATCTCCCTGAGAGTATGTGCTTTATGGAATGCCTTACCGCGACACATCGTTATAGCTCCCTCAGTCGACTCATTCAAGAGACGATTAGACAGTTATGTCACCCCGCATGGACTACCACGGACGTACTCAGGTAGTCACCAACCTCAGTACCCCCGAACTCCCTCCTAACTACCACTCACTCTCTCTCCTTAATACACCCACATTACCTACTAATTCTTCTGTAGGAACCAAACCCACGCGACCATTCGCGCAATTCCCAAATACTTTTCTTTCGTTTTGATTTCTCTTTTCGCCCCTCCTCTTCTTCTCCTTCCCTTTTCTCTTCCTTATATTATTATTATTTTCCATATTTTTTTCTTTTTTCTTTTTTTTCTTTTCTTTATTCTCTCTTCATTCCCTTACCACTACCCTACTATTCTCTTCCAGGTACCTACACAGACAGGAGTCACGGCAGTTCCCTTAACTTCCCAGCAACACGTAGCTCCGTAATCACTCTACAAATTACAACTTACTAACCCACAAAACATCCAACTCACCGAAGGTAAAAGCAAGAAAGTAGAGGGGATTTCCTCGTCCACTGCAGGAGTAAACCGAACAACTCGAACCAAGCCCTAAGAACTAGACACGAGAGATCAAAAACTACCAGTTTTCTACGCTCGCACTATCAATATTGGATATTGGATGTTGAAGTAACGGTCGTTACATATATCAAAATTGTTCGAAATTAACACTTTTCAAAAGTGGTATCTGTTTTCGCTTTCAGGATCATAGGTAACACTTTCTGAGCCATATTTCCTATTTCGCTCTGTGCATTTCTCTGCCTTTCTGTTAAGTAGCGACTAACTTCTCAAATTGTCGTCTATTATCAGGTGTAAGTAAATTCCTCATACATGGAAAATTTTGACTAGGGTAAGTACTTGTGCTTAGTGGAGCAGTAAGCAATAATGTGTACGGCTATTGACCTGATATGATTATAAAATTCCTAAAGTGTGCTTGTATTTGCCGTATTTGGCCTGACGTAATTGTTGACTAAGTACAGAATCGTTGGCTTGTTTCCTGTCCTCCTTAACCCCCTCCTAGCTTATTTACGAGAATTATATTTTAGGATTTGTCCTGGTGCGAACTTGACAGACGCAAAGACCAATCACTAATTATTCGAACTTGTTATATACCCACGAATACGAGACCAAGGAAGAACACGATAGCGTAGTCGGATGGAATAGTATATTTGGATGGTTATGCCAAAATACCGATGCGTTCCAACTAACTGGCTAGAGAGTCGAATACGAGCAATGCAACGTAACACGACAGCGTGCCAAATGGCCAGGATGCTTGACCGGGTGCCTTCAGCTTAGCGAGTCCAGTTAAACTATCAAGGTCAGCATCAATGTCGAAGTCGTCAAACCCTAGGCTATTGATTTTGGGGAAGTGTATGACGCTACAGATCACTCGCCCCCTAGTGGGTTCGTGAGGACCCTAAGACGATACCAGCCGGAAGTAAAAACCCAGTGGTTTCTCCACTGGTAAAACTCTTCCGATGGGCTCACTGCGTGAAGTGGCCCCTGGTTGTCTGAACCTTATTCTAGGGTGTCGTGGCAATTAAATAAATAAAATACAATAAATGAAATTGTACGTCGGTCGCGGTCATCTGTTCCTTTCGACGTTCCGTCCAGTGCTCGTTGCACCTGGAATATAAATAAAAGTCTTTAATACCACGAAAACGTTGCGTAAAAATGGGAATTATTTATATATAAACATATCGAAAAATAAAAATTTACGCTTATCTTCGCCGTTTTTCTTAGTTTTTATTACATGGTAAATAAAAATTGATATAAAAAGGCAAAGTGTACGAGGGTTTGTGCATTGCCGGTAAATAAGAAAAATAGTGCCTCGAAAAAAAGAAAAAAAATGGTTGGCACACACAGCTAAGTTGAATATGACTTCAGATACTCTGGGAACCTGACGGTTCGACCTGATCGTGTTTTTTGTTGCGCCGCTGGTTGTTGCAGCTGTGCATTACCAGGCACATCGTCGAGAATTTCGATAATTGAGTCATCCGTCGGTCGGATGTAGCGATCTGAAACATCACTTACAATGGGGTTGCCTTCGAAATAAGCTGGTTTCAAACGGTCGATACTGACAGTATCTTCACGTCCGCCTCGCTCGATTATATAGAATTTCTCATGTCGCTTAATCACTTTGAACGGCCCGTCGTAGGGTGGTTCAAGTGGTCGACGAACAGCGTCGTGGCGAACAAACACGTGTGATGTCTTCTGTAAACTGGGGTGGACGAAAACATCAGTCGTTTGCTGTCTAATCGGAGAAGGCCTAACTGAACGCATTGCGTTTGTAAGCCTAGTCACGTAAGATGCCCTGTCGGAAACGTGTTTGAAAGTTGAAGGGGAAACAAACTCACCTGGTAGGCGAAGAGTGGTCCCATAGACGAGTTCTGCAGGGGTGCATCCAGCATCAACTTTCAACGCGTTACGAATACCTAGTAGGACTAGAGGCAGAGCCTCGGTCCACTGAGGTATGTTTGTAGCTGAAAGGGAAGCTTTCAGCTGTCGATGGAAACGCTCTACCATGCCATTTGCTTGTGGATGGTAGGCTGTCGTTCGAAACCGAGTGCAACCTAAAAGTGCCGTTAGAGCGTGAAATAGTCCGCACTCAAATTGGCGCCCACGGTCGAGCATGTGGTCGAATTCATTTTTCGCCGTTTGGAGCTTATCGGGGGCTAGACGGCGCGCTTTGGATGCCACAGGTGGACCTGTGGTTGTGACGTGATGCATAACATTGCTGGTTATGCACGGAAGAGTGTGTTTCGGTTGTTGTAACTCTGGATATTTCTCCAGAACTGCCTGGTAGGACGCGTCGTCTGATTGTTTAGTCCTAACGATGGCTAAACTCGGACCTACATAGGTGGTGCCGCCAATAGATAACTTTGTGCTGTTATCTATCAGTCGTCGACGGCGAGCATCTACGAGTAGATCGTAATGGTTCAGCAGATCTATGCCAATGATGGGCATAGAGACGTCTGCCAGGAGGAAAATCCAGTGGATAGGTTTGCGTAAACCTAAGTTGAGGTAGGCATACCGTCTCCCGAATGTCGCGATTGCCTTGCCGTTGGCTGCTTGAAGATTGAAGGATGGGTCAAGATGACGCTCCTTTGTCGTTGCTGGAAGAACGCTAACTTCTGCGCCGGTGTCGACGAGGTAGCGGACTTTCGTTTTAATGTCGGTGACGTAGAGCAAACGGCTTTTTCCGCCGGCTACGGTTGCCGTGAGCACGTGCCGGCGTGACCGTTTCCCGAGTTTGGGTCCTTCTTAAAACGGCATGGTTTACGACATTTTCTGGCTTCATCCCCGTAAGTGTTATGAAACCAGCACCATTCAGGGTTTTCCACCCTGTTGGGTTTCGTTTTAGGGCTACCAAACGACTTGCTGCGATGCGCCAAGGTGCGTTTCCGTGAAGTGCTACGTGATCTAGGACTTCGAGATCGTAGCAACCGTCTCACAGAGTTGCACAACTTGGTCACCTCTGAATCCTGGCGCTCTGTTTTGTCGCAGATAGAATATACGTTGGAGACTGGTCTGCTGGATATCTCCAGTATTTTATCTGCTGAGGCTGCCAGGTCGTCGAGTGGGACTGACTGGAGTGTCACCAACACGGTTTGCACCGGTTGTGGTAGTTTCGAGAGAAATAGTTCTCGGAAGAAACCATCGTCAAATGTTCGTGCACCGATTACTTCTCGCATGCGTGCGAGGACTTCAGTAGCTGAGTGGCTGCCTAGCTCGATGTTACGAAGCAATTCGTCTAGACGTTGGCGATCTGTGAGATCGCTTTTCTTCAAGAGTGCGGCCTTTAGAAGTGCATAAGGGTCACTTACTTCAGGATTAAACATGTTTGCTGTAACAAACCTGTTTAATTCTCGCGGTAGTGACCGTATGACAGCAAGAAATCGAGAATGAGGATCTGAGACACCCTGTTCTCGAAAATCGGCCTCGGCATACAGAAACCATGTTTCTGCATTGTCTGGCCAATATGGCACGAGTTGGATCGTGTTCGAGTCGGCTTAATACGAATAAGCTTGGGAGTGTGGTCGGACATGAGAAAGTGTAGTAAATGGATATATAAATGTTATCGAAATGAAAACAATAAACAAATATAAAATGGAACAGGCTCACCAATTCAATACTTGTTATTGGTCGGGATATGTGATCACGTCGGGATGATCACGTCGGCTCACTAATTTAGGATTTGTCCTGGTGCGAACTTGACAGACGCAAAGACCAATCACTAATTATTCGAACTTGTTATATACCCACGAATACGAGACCAAGGTAGAACACGATAGCGTAGTCGGATGGAATAGTATATTTGGATGGTTATGCCAAAATACCGATGCGTTCCAACTAACTGGCTAGAGAGTCGAATACGAGCAATGCAACGTAACACGACAGCGTGCCAAATGGCCAGGATGCTTGACCGGGTGCCTTCAGCTTAGCGAGTCCAGTTAAACTATCAAGGTCAGCATCAATGTCGAAGTCGTCAAACCCTAGGCTATTGATTTTGGGGAAGTGTATGACGCTACAATATAAATACTTATTCTGTTCCTCTTGCAATAATATTCTGTAGCCTAGATGACTCTTAGCTTCCGGTTGTTACATCTGAATAGTTACCACGGTAGTCTAATCGAAATCTCACTATCTTCCTAAAATATTGTAGCGTCATACACTTCCCCAAAATCAGTAGCCTAGGGTTTGACGACTTCGACATCGATGCTGACCTTGATAGTTTAACTGGACTCGCTAAGCTGAAGGCACCCGGTCAAGCATCCTGGCCATTTGGCACGCTGTCGTGTTACGTTGCATTGCTCGTATTCGACTCTCTAGCCAGTTAGTTGGAACGCATCGGTATTTTGGCATAACCATCCAAATATACTATTCCATCCGACTACGCTATCGTGTTCTTCCTTGGTCTCGTATTCGTGGGTATATAACAAGTTCGAATAATTAGTGATTGGTCTTTGCGTCTGTCAAGTTCGCACCAGGACAAATCCTAAATTAGTGAGCCCGACGTGATCACATATCCCGACCAATAACAAGTATTGAATTGGTGAGCCTGTTCCATTTTATATTTGTTTATTGTTTTCATTTCGATAACATTTATATATCCATTTACTACACTTTCTCATGTCCGACCACACTCCCAAGCTTATTCGTATTAAGCCGACTACGAACACGATCCAACTCGTGCCATATTGGCCAGACAATGCAGAAACATGGTTTCTGTATGCCGAGGCAGATTTTCGAGAACAGGGTGTCTCAGATCCTCATTCTCGATTTCTTGCTGTCATCCGGTCACTACCGCGAGAATTAAACAGGTATGTTACAGCAAACATGTTTAATCCTGAAGTAAGTGACCCTTATGCACTTCTAAAGGCCGCACTCTTGAAGAAAAGCGATCTCACAGATCGCCAACGTCTAGACGAATTGCTTCGTAACATCGAGCTAGGCAGCCACTCAGCTACTGAAGTCCTCGCACGCATGCGAGAAGTAATCGGTGCACGAACATTTGACGATGGTTTCTTCCGAGAACTATTTCTCTCGAAACTACCACAACCGGTGCAAACCGTGTTGGTGACACTCCAGTCAGTCCCACTCGACGACCTGGCAGCCTCGGCAGATAAAATACTGGAGATATCCAGCAGACCAGTCTCCAACGTATATTCTATCTGCGACAAAACAGAGCGCCAGGATTCAGAGGTGACC